GCCGGAAGCTGCTCCAGATGTCCACTAACAAAGCCAGCTAAATTTCGGACACATACTGGAAATTTGAACCGACGGCTAGGGGCTAGATTTTGCTGATTATTTCCTTTTAGAACAGTTTTCTGCAGGTTCAAAGACAGAGAAATTTGAACTACGAGTTATCCAAAACAGTTTTTCTCATAATCACGTCTGTTGGATACCCCTTAACTGTTCAAGCAGAACAAAGTACAAAACATTGGTTTTAACGCTCCCGCCAATGGTTTTTCCTGATTGTTCCTTAATGATATGCGAATGTTTAAGGGTGTGAATCTACATGAAAAATTAATGTTAGTTTGCTTTATAAACTATGGTCCAAAAATGTTTCCTTACAAAAACTCGGAGTGTTGAAGTTTTAAGAAAAAGATGGAAATTAATTAATATTTTCAGAATCGCTTTAGACATTTCACTGATATTTAGTACGTAGTGAAAGTTAATGAAGTTGCATATTTTTCATTTTTTAGCTTTAACAGTGGCGTGTGTACGGGTATTGACTTCGATATTTTTCAAGAAAAAAATGGTACGCCAATGTTTTTTTGCCAAACAAAAATTATTTTTGAATTCCCCGTTCAATTTGTAACAAATGATCACTCTTGAATTGTTTTTTTTCGATGCGCCATTTTTGAGTAAAAAACTAAAAACCGTTCTATTGTCTAACTTGCAAAATTATTAATATAATTGGAAAAATTAAACACATTAGGGGTAATGAACAACAACAACTGACAACATAAACATAACATTAAAACCAACGAAATGATTACAAAATTGTTGAAAATGGCCCCCTTCACTTAGTATGCATGCTTCCGTCCTCCACATGGAATTGCGCTCTCGTTGAAATATCACTGGAGTGCTTTCTATTCTATCACAAGCTGCAACTATTATTTCCCTTAATTCCTCTACAGTGTTAATGGGACTTGTGTACACTAGCGTCTTCAGATAGCCCCACAAAAATAAATCTAAGCTGTTGAGGTCTGGGGACCTTGGTTGCCATTCTTGGGGCCCACCGCGGCCAATCTAACGATTTGGATAAACAGTTTGTAAATAATTACGAGCCGCTACACTGAAATGCGCTGGTGCACCATCATGCATGTACCACATATTGCTTCTTATTACTAACGGAACATCATCAAGCAGCAAAGGCAACTGTTGTTGAAGAAAATTGAGGTAAGTCTGTCCGTCGAGTAGTCCTGGCAAGAAGAATGGGCCAATAAAGTGGTTGCCAATAATTCCTGCCCATACGTTAACCGAAAATTGGTGTTGGAAATGGGTTTCGGTTACGGCAAAGGCATTTTCTTCTGCCCACAAATTATTATTGTGGAAATTCTCAATGACATGTCGAGAAAAATTTTGTGTCATTATGTGTAATTTTTTGAAGATATCACTGACAAAAGGTCTCACGCCTTGGAAGATCAATTTCCTGTACTCTTAAAATATGGTAAGGATATAACAAAAAATCCACTAAAATCCTTCAAACAATTTGATGGCAAATATTTAAATGTCTACCGATCTTCCTCATACTCGTTTCAGGATGTTCTCCGACTTGGTACAACACTGCTTTATCAATTTCAGGTGTTCTCACACTTAGAGGTCTACCTTCAGATGTTCCTTTTCGGACAGAACCAGTTTCAACAAGACGACGATGAATATTAGAAATGGTTCGAATGTCTGGCAAAGCACGATCGGGATATCTCTGGTGATAAATCCGTCTGGCTTGCTCACCATTACCGTCGGCAAGGCCATATACGTACGTAATGCATTTCCGCCATTTCTGCATTTGAATAATTCACCATTATTAACAAGATTGTAAAAACTAAATATCGAAAAAGATGTCACAGCGAACAGATTTGAATAACAGAGACTTGTCACATTACATTAATTTTCTCGGACAATAGAACGGTTTTTATTTTTTTACTCAAAAATGGCGCATCGAAGGAAAACAATTCAGGAGAGATCATTTGTTTTGAATTGAACGGAGAATTCAGAAATAATTTTTATTTGGCAAAAAACCATTTGCGAACCATTTTTTTCTTAAAAAATATCCGTGTCAATACCCGTACGCACAACACTGTTAAAGCTAAAAATTATTTTTCCATTGGAAAATATGCAACTTTACCCTTAAATATTCGCATATCATTAAGGAACACCCGGTATACCGAGGGGTTCTTAGTAATTTTTCTGTAAAGCTTATTGTTTTCGTGTTATAAGCGATTTAAAAATTTGTTGGAAACTAACATTTCGAGATAACAATATCTAAATAAAAGTTCAAACCTGTTATCGAAATAGTATCTAAGACTGTGCGTTGGGTCATTGCATAAAGATTTTGTTCAACGGTCTTAAATAATCACATCAATCGCTTACGCTTTATTCTTACCGACGAGAGTGACTTTATAAGTATGAAGTTTCGCACATTATTTGGTCTGCAACGGCTGAACAAGAGCCTGATAAGTAACCTGTCAAACAAAAACAAAAGTGTAATGAAAATCGCATCTACGATTTGAGAGATACGTTTCCTCAATACCATTTACTCACTCTTGTTCATAAAATTGAAAATAATAATTTAAAAAGTAAACTTATACCTCGTTTAAATATCATTTCATCCAATAGAATTATCAAATTTCCGCATTTATTCACCATGCCACACCAGTCAGCTTTATTCAACCGATCTTTCATACTTAACTCAGTTACACTGTACAACCGATTTCGGAAAGACTAAATAAGTGTATTTTTATGTGTTTGTTTTAACTTAATTTCAAATTTACGTGTATTCACATAAATTTACTATTATACTTTTTTTCTAATATTAGGGTCAAGTGGAAGCATAGCTACATGAGCTAAACTTCGCCCTTTTATAATTAAGGGGTGAGGGTTCCATTGACTTGACTGTTGCTTCGTTTCTGGGTCGTAACCGTAGCACCAAGTCTCATCACTAGTGAAGATCTTTGACAGAAAATTTGGATCAGATTTCAACTCGGTGTTCTTTTTGATTGTCAGTCAGAGCCCGAGGAACAAACTTGGCAGCAACCTCTTTCATTCCCAAATCTTCTGTTACAATTTGCTGAACCGAACACCAGGGCAACCCACTACTTACGGATAGTTGATCGATTGTCAGTCGACGATCTGCAAGCACAAGCTCTCGAATTTTTTCAACATTTTCGTCGATTCGGGCTGTTGATGGACGTCCAGAGCGAGGTTTGTCATCGATCGACATGTCGCCATTTTTAAATTGAGCAAGCCACTCGTACACCTGACTTTTTCCCATAGCATCATCTTTGTAAGCTATTTTCAACATCAAAACAGTTTCAGCAGCATTTTGACCAATTAGAAAGCAAAATTTCACAGCTGCACGTTGCTCACTGAAGCTTGCCATCGTAAAACACGAAACAAGCACGAAACAGCTCTAGCAAAAATAATGACAACAGAGGAACCAAACAAGCCAGATCGAAAAATGAGGTGGCACTGAATTGGTAATGAGTTGCACTGTACGCCTCTAGGGGAAGAAATATGTGCTACACAAGCTCCGCTACTGCAATGCTATTCCGGTTATTTTTGGGTACCTCCCCGTATACACATACTGAATGTAACAAAAGTAAAGGAACGGCTCTGTGTTTTCCAGGTAAGGTATTCTGAGAAAGTTCAAGGTGAGGTCTGTACTAACTGTGAACCAGGAGTTCAGTGGTGACCTTGGATTTCACCTTGAGCCCCCGACTTATCATTTTTTGACTGACTATTTCACTCGTCTTAATTAATACCAATCACAAACCGGCAATTTTGAATTACAAACGGTTTCTAGATGGAAAAATTGTATGACAGGACCTGGGAGTTTTTTGAGTTTACCCGCTTCAAAACTTGACAGCTGTAGTCACCAAAAATTACAATATCTTTGATAACAAGTAATTATGGTCTCCTAGGATAGCAGAAAAATTACTGGTCACAGTTCAGTCAACTCAATTAAGCCCTATGTGCAAATGGATAATGAGCATTATTCCAACATCCCAAAGACCCTTAGAAGTGATGCCTCAGAACCACTAGCTAAAAAAAAGAAAACACCTACATACACTCAATGTTAATAAGTTAAACAAAGAATTCAAACAATACTCCTACTGTGTACCAAAATTGCAATTTATAATTAAGTTGGTTGTACTTTGTGATTGCATGCATAATAGGTAGTATGTTTTGTAAGCTATGTGTATGCAGAATAATGTAAATACCATTAGGGCATCGAATGTTTTCTTGTGAAAAAGAAAACGAAAAAACATAATGCAACGTAATATTTAAAAAAAAAAATCGTGCAGGAGCGTTACTTAACGAGTTTTTTGGATTTTTTTTCGGAAAAATTAGATGCCTGTATGACACTACTTATGAAAATCTCCATTTTTGATACTAGCAATCGAAAGAATGGAACATTCTATGTCCGAATCTGAGAGCAAGGTCACCTCGAAGGGGATCAAGCTCAAGCATTTGAGGGTAGGAAAAGTGTCTAGAAGCTTATCAGGATTTTTGGTGGAGAAAACAGGCATACCTTCTAAAACTTTTATCAAGAATTTTAATATTGACCTCAAGTTTGACCCTGAGCCTCACCTACAATGTAATAGTAGTGTATAAGAAAGTATTAGAACGTAACGTGCTCCTTTGCCGGTATCAAAGGGAAGGGTTTCAGTTACAGTTTTGAAGTCCTTGTTCAAAGTTTGTATGTACCTGTTCTTGACCTTTTCAAAAATTCCTCACCTGAAAGGTCTCAGAGCCCCGTCTTTACTATTGTTACACCTCGTATACAGATGTTTGGGATAGGGCCAAGAATAGACAGTGTTCTAGGTCATGAACAAACAGGACAACTTTTTCAATTTCGAGCTTTCATTACTACGTGGGACTCCACTGTCTTGATACAATTCAAGTCCCATAAAAATTTGGAAACTGTCATCCTGAAATCTCTCCATCCATTCGAATGCGTAAAGTATAAATGATTTTACCTTCTTCCCAAGAACTTCAGGGGAATTGTCGTTTTTATCTCCCCGTTCTTTTGTCTAGATTCTATTGACTTTCCCGGATTGTGCTGAGTGGTCTCGGGGGCATTATGCAGAACTGTAAGACTCTATTTTCACTTCGAAGGAAGGGTGTACCACCTTTCTATAGGCTGTCGCTCCTTTTTAACTTACATTGAACGCCGAGCCATTTAGTCGATTGCCGCAGTCAGAAGCCGGTTTTTGTGTAAATTTTATTGTGAAGAATGTTTTTGTTGCTTTGCCGCCCATTCCCCTAGTAGTATATTTTTGGTTTTCTTAAATGATATATAAAGTGAGAAACATCTCATATAATTCTAAAAGTGCAATCGTATGTATTCCATCTGATATCGATTCTAGGTGGAGACAAGTTTTCATAAAAACAATGCAGCTTTTGATGATGTCCTAGAAGATACGTCATGTGCTCCATGATAACAATTGAAGGACGAAGCATGTCTCCTAACATGCGCACAGTGGTTTGACCAGACGAAAACCAAGTGTAAATCGAACAAACGAAGTATCGAAATGAACGAAAATAATTAGGTACCCATTTTAAAGTTAATACCTTAGTATGGATCATAATAAATAGAGCACACACTTTTATTTGATGTAATTAAAATCTGTCATCACTGTTGTTTTCATGTACACAATGGATTGATTGGATTACTATTGTTAGCTTCATATCTTCATATTGGGATTATTCAGAGACGTTTTTAATTAGGTTCAACCCTTCACCACATTTAGAATAAATCGTACTTGTGACCTTTGAACTGCGTGATAATATTTAGTGACATTTATTATTACCTTCTACAAATTATTGAGAAATAATAATAATAATAATAATAATAATAATCTGATTTCAATCCACAAAAAATATACTTGTGCGTGGAAAAAAAATAAAAACATAAGTATTCAAATAAAATAAACCCTGCTTACCAAAATAATTAGCAATCATATGTTATTCAGCGCATGCGGTGTTGTATACAGGGTGTCCCGAAAAAAGTGCGCAATATTCTACCAGCGGTTTCTAGAGCTTAAAATAGGGAGAAAAGTTTATATAAACTTAGGTCGACAAACGTCCCCTAAGGGCGCTACGGTCTTTTAAAGGGGCTCCCCTGAAAATGGTTTTTCCTTAATATGAAACGAAACGTGTTGAGATAAAGACATAAAATTTGATATTCTAGCCTAGTTTTTTATGCTGGATTTAAAAATATTAACAATCTTAGACCGTTTTGTTTGGAAGCGTATGTAACAGGGACGAACTCAGGTTATTTTAGCCCCAAAATCTTTGTATGATTCTATTTTTGAAATTCAATTTTAGAATTTGAATATTCAGGGTTTTCTACATAAAAAAGGTACTCTTATTAAATATCGATAAATTGTGCTATTTTCAAATAAAGAAATCTGCCACATGATAGGCAATGTACTGCGAATTTAAATGAATTGTTGAATAATTAGCCATGGCAAAGAAAAAACTAATTTAATAATTGGTAAATATTACATAAATACATATTTCTATTGCAACATAGCTAAAATTTAGGCAAAAACAAAAGGAATAAATTTTTTCTACGAACGAAATTGAAATTTGTTTACAAAAGAAGACAGACAGTTGGATATACTCAAAACTAGCTTTACAATAAGTGTTCAAATAAATTTCCATTTTGTTGGATACAGAGTCTCGCTCGACGAACTAATGATTGCGTAGCCCGAAAAGTGGAAAACCTTTTTCTTCTTATTTCATTTGCAGCCTGATGGATTCTTTGAAGTAAATCTTCTTGAGTATTTACTTCAGTCGAGTAAACTAGGTATTTTAATGACCCCTAAAAATATAAATCCGATGGATTTAGGTCAGGTGAACATGGCGGCCACGCTATAGGACCTCCTCGGCCTATAACCACCTGTCTGGAAAATTGACATTCAACAATTTCGAACATTGCGTCAAAAATGTGCAAGGCGCCATCATGTTGAAAAAACATATTTTCTTTAAACTGCTGGCGCACATCCAATGGTATTATATCCATGAGGTCATTCTGAAGAATGTTCAGATACACCTCTGAATTAAGACGAATCTGAAGTACAATAGGCCCAATTACTTGATCCCCAACTACTCCTGCCCATAAGTTCAATTAAAATCTATGTCGGAAACTTGTACGGCGAACAACTTTTGTATTTTCATCTGACCAGTGATGCATGTTATGGAAATTGAAAGCACCACTCCTAGTAAATATTGACTCATCTGACCATAATATTATAGAAATAGTCATTCATTTGATAATATCCACTGGCAAAACTCGATTCGTGGTAAAAAATCTGCCTCCGTTAAATGCTGCACCCGTTTAAAATCATAAGGATGTAATCCTTGGACTCTTGTCATTCTTCCTATCTAAAGTTATTATTTTTAGGACAACCATCAAATAGGTATTCATCAATTTTTCTTACTATTGATCGAGGTATATCCATAGTTTCTGAAACATTTCGTATGCTTATTTGCGGATTATTTTCAAACATATTTAAAGCAATATCCATACGATGATTTCCCAGTGGCCTTCCTGAGTCCTGCATGCGCTGAAAACTTCCATGGTTTGACAAATTCCGGTGAATATCAGTAAACATTCGACGTCCAGGTACTATGCGATTGGGAAATCTGCTTTGATATTCTCTTACGGCTGCCAATGAACTGCCATTGCAAAACCCGTACACAAAATGCATGTCAGTCAGTTTTCTGTCTGTAAATCTTGGCATTTTAAATCGATTTAATAAAAATTTTGATTTTAGTCTAGTAATTTTACACTGCTAACAATGTCATCTTAACCTCAAATAATTCATAATAAATCAAAACAAATTTTTTTTGCAGTCATGGCTAACTATGTATAATCAACAATTCATTTAAATTCGCAGTACATTTCCTATCATGTGAAAAATTCTTTAGTTTGATTTTATTCAAAAATGGCACAATTTATCGATATTCAATGCGAGTACCTTTTTTATGTAGAAAACAGTAAATTTTCAAATTCTAAAATTGCATTTCAAAAATAGAATCACATAAATATTTTCGGAAATTTTAAGGAAAAACCATCCGCTGGTAGAATATTGCACACTTTTTCTGTGAATTTCAATTTTATTATTATTGGAATGCAAACTTTTTTACTAACGATGGGTGTATACGGTGAGGTTCAAATTTGGCTGACGTCGTTATGTGTACGTGAGAGAAGCGTGCAATGTGTATGTTAGAAAGAGTACGCCGGTGGCAGCTGCGCCAATGGCTTCATCTCTCGGGTTGCTAGGCAACGAGGTGCTTCTATCTCTTTTCAACACACGCTTCTATCTCGTACACATAACGACATCAGTGGTATACGGATTTCACTGTACGTAATATGTTAATATGTTGTAATTTGTAATTTCCTCTTTGAACTTATTGTAATTATATTTCTTTAATTTTTATTTCCTTGTTTTTATATAATAAATGAGCCTGATAGATGAATAATTTGAGCGTGATGTCTAACTCTGGGGTAAGTAATTTGAGAGCTCTTGCTTCTAGTATTATAATCATAATTCTTGTACAATAGATAATTTTTGTTTTTACCATATAATTTCTTATGTTGATAATTTTTGTTTCAGTATACAAACGTTCAGATGGGTATATTATGGGTTTATTATATACTAAGTGACATATAAATCCGAACACCCAGTTTAAATGGTTTTATTTTAATAAAAGTTTGTGAATGTATTTATCTTACTGTAAATAACTAGTGAAAAAATTTTCAGCCTTATCAGTTGGACATTCCGGTTTTTATACTGCTTTTTTTTAATTCACTAACGCTCTAAAAATGAATATTTCAGCCGCAGTAAAGAATCAACGTTGGCGGATTTTGGTTCTTGATATCCTTTACGATCGGTTACGATGCCTAGAGTACGGAGACCTGTACGATTTCGTCAACTTAGTGAGTTTGATAGGCGCCGTATAGTGGGACTTCGGGAAGCTGGACTTTCTTTTCGGGCAATTGCAGTTAGAGTGCAAAGAAGTGTAGACACTGTGGTTAGGTGTGGTCAGGCATGGCTTCGAGAAGCCCGTACGCAAAGAGCAAGGGGCACTGGAGGCCGCCGTAGAACAACAGACCGTGAAGATCGCCGCCTATGATTATTGGCCTTAAGGGACCGTTTCTCCACTACCAGGTCCATTGCAAATGAATGGTTTGCAGAACACGGAAGACCTATTGGCATGCGAAGTGTTTACCGACGAATGAGAAGTTTTGGCTTGTTTTCATACCGGCCACACTGGGTTCTCCCTTTAACTCGAGAACACGGACGTAATCGCCTTGAGTGGTGCAGACAACGGTCACTCTGGGATCAGGAATCGAACAGTATTGTCTTTAGTGACGAGTCTCGATTTTGTTTAGGCATGCACCATGGTCGTGCCAGGGTTAGAAGGCGACGTGGTGAAAGGAGGAATCCACAGTTTTTTGTTGAAAGACATGTTCATCACACTGTTGGAGTTATGGTTTGGGGTGCTATTGCTTATGGTTCCAGGTCACCTTTAATCTTCATCAGAGGTAACATGAACGCGCAGCGTTATATCCACGAAGTTCTAGAACCCCATCTTTTACCCTATCTTGACACCCTGGCAGATTCAACTTTCCAACAAGATAATGCCCGACCACATGTTGCAAGAGTCACAATAGACTTCTTTCAACATAATGATGTCACATTGTTACCATTGCCACCAAGATCTCCCGACTTATCCCCAATTGAGCACTTGTGGGATATGATGGGTAGGAGATTGCTCAATTTGCAACGTCCTCCTCAGACTCTAGAAGCACTTCGAGAGGAGTTGGTGGTTGCCTGGAATGAGATACCACAGGAGGACATTGACCACCTGATCAGAAGCATGCCTAGGCGCGTTGGAGAAAGCGTAGCACATCAGGGTGCATCCACACATTATTAAAGGTCAAGGGGCTTTAAAGCAGTGCAATCATTTTGAAATTTTTATCATTTTTATTATTATGCTTCATTAAGTACTTATACAAAATTTTATTAAAATAAAACCATTTAAACTGGGTGTTCGGATTTATATGTCACTTAGTA